TTATAGTCTCACAGGTCCCTGAGGCTCCATTCTTTTTTTTTTTTTTTTTTTTTTTCAGTCTGTTTTCTCTGTGTTTTTCATATTGGGTAATTTCTATTGTTCTGTCTTTCAGCTCACTGATATTCTTTTCTCTTTCTTCTTCATTCTGCTCTTGAGTCCATCCACTGAACTTTTCATTTCCATTATTACATTTTATAGTTCTAATATTTCCACTTGGTTCTTCTTTATATCTTCTGTTTCTTTGCTGAAGCTATTTTTTCCCCATTTGTTTAAAGCATGTTCATAATTGTTTGTTGAAGCATTTTTATCATGGCCGCTTTAAAATAAGTCAGATAATTCTAATATCTCTCATCTCAGTACTGGTATCTATTGATTGTCTTTTATCATTGTTTGAAATCATATTGGTTCATGGTATGATGAGAGATTTTTAAAAATTGGAATCTGGACATTTTTCTATTATGACACTCTGAATCTTAATTTAAAACTTCTGTTTTAACTGACTTCTGTTTTAACTGACTTTCTCTTACACTGCTTTGGCATAGAAGGGAGAAGTAGGTCTTCATTGCTGCCAGGTAGAATTTCAGATTTCACACTTCACCTCCATTGACAACCAAGGGACATAGAGCTTCTCTTTGCTGTTAGGTGGGGGTGTGAGTTCCAGCTCCCTGCATGGTCTCCACTGATACTATGGTGGATGTGGCCTCATTACTGCTGGGTAATGGTGAAAGTGCTGACTCTCTACTAGGCTTCCTCTGACTTAACCATGTAGGAGAGGAGAAGGGTGCCTCTTTCCTGCCAGGTGAGAGTGAATTCCAGGTTCCCTGCTGACACCATGGTCTTTACTGACACCAGGGAGGGGTAGGAGGACTCATTACTGGCTGGTGGGGAAGAAAGTCATAGTTCCCTATTTGATCTTCTGTGACACCACCTGGCAGGGGTGTTGGGGCCACTTATAACCTTGTGTTATAACCTTGTGAGGATGGAAGTCTAGGTTCCCCACTCAGCCTTGGCATGGTGGGCAGTAGGACCACAGTGTTGTCTGTGGTGTTTGGCTAGAGTGGAGCAGTTATTGTCTAAAAGTTTTCTTGCTAGGCTGCCCCTTTCCTTTGGCTAGCAGGAGCAGGCTTTTATTGAGGCTTATTATTATTTTTATTTTATTTGTGGCCCAATTTGGCATTTCCAAATTGCTGGTTCTTCAGCTCAAAGTCCGGGATAAATGAGACAAAAAGAAAACCCAAGGGAATCACTGCAGTGTTGTTCCTTGGGTCCTGCCATTCCTAGGCAGTTTGCTTTCTTCTTTCCACCTCTCAAAGTTATCTTATGTTTGTTTTATGTATAATTTCTAGGGTTTATAGTTGTACTAGGAATGGTGAAGGTATATCTACTCTACCTTCCTAGAAGTAAAATTCCATCAGTGTATTTTTCATGTCAGGTATTGTATTTTTCATCTCCAGAAGTTCCATTTGGGTCTTTCTTATATTCCATTTCTCTCATTATATTTTATTTGCCTTTAGTCTTAAATGTGTGAAGCATATTTATAACTGTTTTAATTCCACCATCACTGTCATTTCTAGGAAGATTTCTCTTGGTTTGGGGTAACATTTTCCTGTCTCTCTTTATGTCTCTTTTTTATGGTAATATTTAATTGGGTATCAGACACTGGGAATTTTATGTTGTTTAGTGTTTATTTTTTTTAAAGATATAGCTGTTTATTTTTATTTTTTGGCTGCATCAGGTCTTAGTTGCGGTATGCGGGATCTTTGTGGCGGTGCATGGGCTCTTCATTGGGGTGCGAGGGTGTCTCTTTAGTTGTGGTGTGCGGGTTTTCTCTCTCTAGTTGTGGCGCATGGGCTCCAGAGCGCGTGGGCTCTGTAGTTTGCAGCACACAGGCTCAGTAGTTGCGGTGCGTGGGCCTAGTTGCCCTGTGGTATGTGGGATCTTAGTTCCCTGACCAGGGATTGAACTCGCGTCCCCTGCATTGGAAGGTGGATTCTTTACCACTGGACCACGAGGGAAGTCCCAGATTTTTAAACAAATATTTATTTATTTGGCTGCACTGGGTTTTTAGTTGCTGCGTGCAGGATTTTTGTTGTGGCATGTGGGATCTTTAGTTGCGGCATGCAGGATCTAGTTCCCTGACCAGGGGTCGAACCCAGGCCCCTTGCATTGGGAGTGTAGAGTCTTAACTGCTGGACCATCAGGGAAGTCCCTAGTGTTAGATTTTATGTTTGTTGCATTTCTTTCATGAGTGTTGGTCTTGGTTCTGGCATACTTGGTATTAGTTTGATCCTTTCAAGGCTTGCTTTCAAGCTTTGCATGATGGTCCAGAGTAGCCTTTATTCTAATGTCCTTTTGAGGACTCCACCTGGTGCTCTACCCACACTGGCTTGTCAGGAACACAAAACATTCCCAATATTGTGTGAGCTCTGGGAATTGTTTGGCTTACTTCTTTCTGGTGTTTCCCCCACGCCCGGCCTCATGGAGTTTCACCTGATGCACGCACAGATCAGTATTCAGACAAAGATTTGAGGGGACCCCGCCGCAGATCTTCAAAGCTCTCTGTATCATCCCCTCATCTACAGTGTTCTGCTTCTCAATTTCTCGCCCACTTATCCTCCATCAACTCTAATCTCTGTCTTCTCCACTCACTGAGACTGCTGGCTTTACTTGGGTTCCCCCTTCTGCACTGCCCACAACAGTACGGTGCAGGAAACTACCTCTAGGCTGTAAACTCAGGCAGTCAAAGGGCTCACCTTATTTGTTTCCCTTTTCTCAGTTAACAATGTTCTGCCCTACCTGCTTTCCAATACCTATAAACATTTCTTTTTAAATTTTTTTTCTGGCTTTATAGTTACTTCTAGTGGGAGAGCGATTTAGGTAGTGGTAATTCCTTTATGGGTAGAAGTGGAAATCTGAGTCAGTTTTTCAGCTGGAAACAACTAATGAAAGATGTGGTCCCCAGGAGAAAGGACCATGAAAGATCATGTCAAGAGTATAAGGTAATAATTCCCCCAGTCCTATCCTGTAGGGACTTATGACCATTTATTTGCATAATACACTTTGGAGAAAGAGGAATATCCAACTATTTCAAGACTGTTGGATACAGGGTCCTATTTGACTTTGAAACCAAGTATCTGAAACATCATCATGGCCCCCTGTTAGAGTGGCAGTGTATGGGGGCTAGGTAACAAATGTATTCCAGGCCCAGGTCTGGCTCTTAGTAAATCTACTGGGTTCACAGATCCACCCAGTGGTCATTTCACCTGTCCTTAATTGGACAATTGAGATGGACATAGTTAATAGTTGGTAGACCTACATTAACCACAACAGGTTAAGAGCTATCATAGTGAGAAAGGCCAGCATATGAAGTTCCTGAAATTGCCTCCACCATCTCAGGCTAAAATAATGAATTAAAAAATATCACATTAGTGCCCCTCTTGAAGACCTAAAGGATGCAGGGATGGTGGTCCCCACCATAATGGCATTTAATTCACCAGTCTGGCCTCTGCTAAAACCAGACAGTTCCTGGAGAATGACAGTGGATTATGGTAATCTCAGTCAAGTAATTTCAATTTTATCTGCCGTGCCAAATGTGGTTTCTTTGCTGGAGCAGATTAACAGCCTCAGGTAGGCAGTAGGTGACCGTTAATCTGAGCAATATATTCTTTTCCATCTCTATAAGAAACAAGGAGCAAAGTTTGCTTTCACTATTGAGATGAGCAATAAAATACAATTTACAGTCTTGCACCTGAAACATGTAAACGCTCCCACATCTGTTGTAATATAATCTGAAGAGACTTGGACCATCTGGACGTTCCACAGAATATCACATTACTCTATTGATGACATCATGGTAATTGTACAGGATGAGCAAGAAAGAGCAAGTCCACTGGAGGCCTTGATAGGATAAACATTCTCAAGTGGTGGTACATAAACCCTGCAAATGTTCAGGGACGTTTTTAGAGATTCAGTAGTTTGGACAATGCTAGGACATTTCCTCCAAAGTAAAGGAGAAATTTTATATCTCACACATCTCGCCACTAAGAGGGGGCACAGTGCCTGGGTAACATCTTCAAGGTCTACAGATAGCTTATTCCCCACTTGGGAATACTGCTCTGACTCATATATTGGGTGCCACAAAAGATAGTGAGGCCTAGAGCAGGAGGACTCTGCAGCAGGTCCAGACCGTGGTGCAAATGTTCCTGTTGCTTGGTCCACAAGACACCCTATTAAAGGCGTCAGTGATGGGAAAAGATGCCACATGCTGTTTACGGCAAGCCGCAATAGCAAGTCACACATAGACCCCTACCGTGCTTGAGCAAGGCCATGCCTTCTGAAAGGGTATTATATACCTTTGAAAAGATAGCTCCTGTCGTGCTACTGAGTCCTAGTTGAAACAAAGTGCTTCAAGTGATCATGTAGCCAAAAATGCCTGCTATGACCTGGGTTCTGTCAGACCCAAGTCATAAGATTGGATGGGTCCATCAGCAGTGCTTCATAAGATGAAAGTGCTATGCATAGCACTGGGCATAAGCTGGGCTGGAAGGTCAAAGTAGCTGCATAAGCAGGTGGCCAGACCCCTGTTACCCACCACTATTGCACTGCTGCTGCTTTTTCAGTTCACATCTATAGCCACATGGAGTGGAGGAATCCCTCATGACCATATGACAAAAGGCTGGGCTTGGCTAATATATGGGTTGTCTCTGTAGGTGGAAGTAAGCTGAAAATACTGTGGATGTACTATGGCCCCACTTTGGGGTAGGCTTGAAAGGCAGCAGTGAGGGGAAATCTTCCCAATGGGCAGTGCTTCAGGCAGTACACCTGCCTGAGGAAAGAACATAGACTCACAGACAATGGTGAATGACTTGGCTGGTGGATCAGGAGCCTAGAAGAAAAATTTGAAGGCTGAAGACAGGGAAGCCTGAGAAAAAGGTATGTAGTTTACTTGGGAATGGGTATAGTGTATGATGATCTTTGTACTGCATGTTAATTCCCACCAGAGAACATCCACCACAGAAAAGTCACCAACCAACCAAGTAGATTGAATGACTTAGCCAGTTGATGTTAGCCAGTCTCAGTCATTGGCACCCCAATGATGGCAAAATGGGCCTGTGAATGGAGAAGCCAGGATGGAAGCTATGCATGGGCCCAACATCATGGCCTCACCAAGGCTGATCTAGCTACAGCTACTGTGACTGACTGTCCAACTCATCAGCAACAGACACCAACATTAAGTCCCTGACATGTCACCATTCTTCAAGGAAACCATCCAGCCACTTGGTGGTAAGTTGATTACATTGACTCCCTGCTACCCTGGAAGGGGCATTGTTCCATCTTGACCTAAATTGATGTGTATTATGGGTATGGGTTTACCTTTCCTGCCACCATCATCTAAGGGCTTACAGAATATTTGATCCGCTGGCATGAGATCTTGCATAACAGTGCACTGGAACAAGAGACCATGTTATAGCAAGGAGGTACAGCACTGGGTACATGATCATAGGATCCATGGTCTGATCATATACCACACCATCCAGAAGCAACCCACCTGATACAATAATGGAACATCTTGTTAAAGGCACAGCTGAGACACCAGCTTGGAGATGACACCCTGTGAAGATGAGACACTGTCCTCCAGGATGCAGTATATACCCTGGATCAACAGACAACCTAGAGTGCTATCCCCAAGTAAAATATATGGGTCTGGGAAACGGGGGCTGGATGTAGGAGCAGCCCTCCATTATCATCACTCTCAGTGACCCAACTGGGGAAAACTACACCTCCTATCCCAACTCTGGGCTCTGAGGACTTGATCAGGTAACCCATGTGGACTAACAGAAGTATAAATTGGGGGTGGGGTTAGGAAGAATCTAGAATGGGTAGTGGGAGGTAAGTACCAGTTGTAGACTTAAGCTACAGCAGCAGGGGCTGTAGTCTGTCCCAGATCTTCCTCTAAGTTTTCCCAGGAAAGGAAGCCCATCAGGATCCTGAAGGGATCGTTTTAGAACTTATGAACAAACTGACCTGACAGCACAAGAAGTGGACTGTAGTGGAGACTGTGGTGTGCTGCCCAGATTGCTCCCTTCAGCACCGAAGCCCTCACTTCCCAAGCTGCTGAGAATGTGCACAGCTCTCATCTGAGTTCCCCTCTGGGAACTGCCTGTGCCTGAAATCAGTCACCTCACCCAAGACCCTTTCCTGGTCAGCATGGGGTTCTATAGGCCTGGCCACTTGCCTCAACATGGTACACACCTAGATGGCTCAAGCCACCCTAGCTTGAGCTCCCTGGGGGACTAAGGCCTTTGTTGAGACTGCGTCAGCTCAACTTCTCCCTCTACCGAATTTTGCTTCCTTCATGCCCCAACAGGTGTTAATCTAGAGGACACCCCCAGTAAACTTCCTGCGCCTAAATCTCCAACTCAGTCTGTTTTACCAGGAACTCACCTCATGACAAGTATCTGAACACTTTTTGAGATTCGCTATGTGGACTGTTGTCCTGTGCTCAGTTTCAGAGAGCGTCATCGTGGTGGTGGTGTGGAAAGATGCAGTGTTCAGTGAGCTTTCCATTTCAAGGACAGCAGGGATTGATGGCAAATCTGACAATCAAATGGCAACTGCAAACAATACCAGTGCTCGACCTGTCACAGAGTTCTGGCAAGTGTGAGGTTGGATACAGATATTAGTACAACTACTGACGACAGAACGCCCAGTAGCAGGGATGGCTTTCTGTGCATGAAAGTAGTTGGCTTGGCAAGGCAGGTGAGCTCAAATAGGATGATAGAAACCAATTTCTCTGGTAAGGGTAGCAGTAGAGTCAATGGTCTCATCTTTATCCTTCCTAAACTGCAAAGTCTCATATTTATTTGAGTGACTCTGGCACAATCCGCTTGTCAACAGTTGGTCTTTTTTCCAGGAATGGACCTTGAACTTACACAGAACTATCTACTTGCCTCATCTCCTATTCCGTAATTACCTACGAACTAGCCCCATATCTTAACCTTGGTCTGGAAACCAAGGTATTTTCTTTTTCAAAATTTCAGGAAGTGGTTGAAGAAATAAAACAGAAGTTCCCTTTTTAAACTTCTTTCATCCCAGCGTCATTTTCTCCGACAATTTCCCTTAGGCCTTATTCACACTCCACTGTGCTTATTTGTACTGAGGGCTGTATTAGCGTACCTAATAAGTTTTAAGACCATAAAAGGCATATCAACTTGTTGAGTAATTTTGTCCATAGCAACTGTGGGCTGTAGCCTGCAAATGTATTCTCTTTTTTTCTTTTTAGCAGTAAACCCCAGTGGCTCAAGAGGACATCCCACACAGAGGTCCTGTCCCCAGTCTACTCAGTCCAGTAAACAACACCTAAAAAGAACACAACCTCTTTATTTTTTTTTTCAGATACAAACGTTTAGTTTGGATGATGAGAATGAGCTATCTCTATCATTTATTCCAATGAATTCCAATGTAGGACGAGGCTAAATAGATCTAGACTCTTTTGGTCTATTAATATTTAGCTTATCAAATCTACAGCCTGGTATTTCTGGAGTAGGCCTGCCCCAATAACGCTAGATGTGATAACTGCTGAAGATGGCAAATATGGACAATTCAACGTATATTCAGTCTAGTCTGCTGTCGCTGTCTCCACATGCTTTCTAAAATTCCATGTTTGGTCAGAGCTGGGAGTGATATCACGGTGCTGGCCCATCTTCGCTCCACCTCTCCTCTGATTCTGCTTTGCTGCTTTCGAGGTAGAACAGGTTCAGATGGTCTGGGAGCCTGTGGAGCTGGCAGCTTGCTGGGCTAACCAGTACTTATATCTTTTGGTCTTGGGCCTCTCAAAGTTCACCACAGACATAGGTACCCTCACAGTGTCAAGCCCATTTACCTGTACACAAAACAACAGGAATCTTCAGATCAGTGGGGCAGATACGAACTAACACCACCCAATCCCAGCTTTCTACCCAGTGAGAAAAAGGAGACAGGATGTGAAACACTCACCGTCACCTCACACCAGTACTCGCCCCTCTGTGTGATAGGCTCTTCTGGTAACTTTAATGCATGTGGGGCAACCACAACACCAAGCTGCAAAAAAAATCAATCACAGCCAAAGGGAACTCTGTTTACATGGTTGCCACTCCAGGCAACCTCTAGATTTTCCTGTACATGGGTGAATATAACGGGGGGGGGGGTTACCCTGGCTGATCCCATGGAAAGGCACAAACCTCCATAAATAGTGGCAGAATAACTCAGTCCTAATTTCTCAGAAAGGGAGGTGGATTCACAAAGAGAAACAGGGCTTGAGATCAAACTCACTTCACCCACAAAAGTAAAAATTCTCCAGTGAGTCACATTTCCCCAGGTTTTCCCTAGCTAGAGAAAATAAATGATCCCACCATCTTCTCCTATCAGTCTTCAGAATCTATGTGACCATCCTCAGTTATTTCCCTCCCACACCCCTGCAAACCAATCAAGAACGCTTTCCCTAAGTTGGACAGCCGCATGTAAATCAGCGACGTTAGAACACTTCCTCACACCATACACAAAAATAAACTCAAAATGGCTTAAAGACTTAAAATGTAAGACAGGACAACATAAAACTCCTAAAAGAGAACGTAGGCAAAACATTCTGACATAAATCGTACCAGTGTTTTCCTAGGTCAGTATCCCAGGGCAATAGAAATAAAAGCAAAAGTAAACAATTGAGACCATTTACAAGCTTTTGCACAGCAAAGGAAACCATAAACAAAACGAAAAGACAACCTATGGACTGGGAGAAAATACTTGCAAATGAAGCTACTGACAAGGGCTTAATTTCCAAAATATACTATCAGCTCAAACAACTCAACAAAAAAACAACCTAATCAGAAAAATGGGCAGAAGACCTAAATAGACATTTCTTCAAAGGAGACATACTAATGGCTGACAGGCACATGAAAAGATGCTCATCATCGCTAATTATCAGAGAAACGCAAATCAAAAGTACAATGAACTACCACCTCACACTGGTCAGAATGGCCATCATTAAAAAGTCTACAGATAACAAATGCTGGAGAGGGTGTGGAGAAAAGGGAACCTTTCTACACTGTTGGTGGGAATGTAAATTGGTACAGCCACTATGGAAAACAGTATGGAGGTTCCTTAAAAAACTAAAAATAGAGCTACCATATGATCCAGCAATCCCACTCCTGGGCATGTATCTGGACAAAACTATAATTCAAAAAGATACATGCACCTCTCTGTTCACGGCAGATCTATTCACAATAGCCAAGACATTGAAACAACCTAAATGTCCATCAACAGATGAATGGAAAAAGAAGATGTGGTACGTATATACAATGGAATACTACTCAGCCATAAAAAAGAATGAAATAATGCCATTTGCAGCAACACAGATGGACCTAGAGATTATCATACTAAGTGAACTAAGACAAATGCCAGGGCTTCCCTGGTGGCACAGTGGTTGAGAGTCCACCTGCCGATGGGGGAGGACGTGGGTTCATGCCCTGGTCTGAGAGGATCCCACATGCCACGGAATGGCTGGGCCCGTGAGCCATGGCCGCTAAGCCTGCGCATCCAGAGGCTGTGCTCCGCAATGGGAGAGGCCACAGCGGTGAGAGGCCCGCATACCACAAAAAAAAAAAACAAATGCCATATGATATCACTTATATGTGGAATCTAAAATATGACATAAATGATGTATGAAACAGAACTTCCCTGGTGGCACAGTGGTTAAGAACCCACCTGCCAATGCAGGGGACATGGGTTCGAGCCCTGGTGCGGGAAGATCCCACATGCCACGGAGCAACTAAGTCCATGCGCCACAACCACTGAGCCTGCACTCTAGAGCCCATAAGCCACAGCTGAGCCTGCGTGCCACAACTACTGAAGCCTGCGTGCCTAGAGCCCGTGCTCCACAACAAGAGAAGCCACCACAATCAGAAGCCTGCGTACCGCAACTAGAGAAAGCCTACGTGCAGCAACGAAGACCCAACGCAGCCAAAAATAAATAAATAAATAAATTTATATTAGAAAAAAGATCTATGAAACAGACTCACAAACGTAGAGGACAGGCTTGTGGTTGCCAAGGGGCAGGTTGCATTGATTTACATGAGGCTGTCCAACTTAGGGAAAGCATTCTTGATTGGTTTACACGGGTGTGGGAGGGAAATGACTTGTGGTTGCCAGGTGGGGGAGGGATGGATTGGGAGTTTGGGATTAGCAGATGCAAACTATTATGTATAGAATGGATAAAAAACGAAGTCCTACTGTGCAGCACAGGGAACTACATTCAATATCCTGTAAAAAACCATAATAAAAAAATATGAAAAAGGATGTATATATATGTATAACTGAATCACTTTGCTGTACAGCAGAAAATTAACACAACATTGTAAACCAACTATACTTCAATTAAAAACAAAAAATGCTTTCTGTAACTCCAGCTGGATGATCATACCCTTTCCTAACAGAGGGATCAATCCTGGGGTAGCTGCTTCTTCCCAGGGGTAGTTTCCACCCTCAGGGGTACAGCAGTGTTTGGGAATACTCACATTTCTGAGGAAGTGGCGGGCAACTATTTCAGGGTTTAGCTCCCATTTGACATTGTTCTTCATCCCTACCTGCAGGTGACATCTTCTCAGAAATTTCACTGTCTGAGAGGAATTATACACAGAAGATAGGTTAGAGTTGTAATCAAAGGAGAGGAAACATGTTAGCAAGAGGCCAAGAGGCACACAGTCAGAAAGGCTAAGCACAATTTCTGCCTCATAGCCAAGACAGGTGAGATGATGAATACGAAAGATAAAAATTCTCATTGTCTCAAGGCTGATATTATGGAAAGACGTTTTAGCGATGCTCTGAAAGGAAATGCTGCCTATACGTGGCTATTCCTAAGCAAGGAGAAACAGGCCATGTCAAAGTTAGGCTCATCAGGGACTTCCCTACTGGTCCAGTGGGTAAGACTCCGTGCTCCCAATGCAGGGGGCCCGGGTTCAATCCCTGGTCGGGGAACTAGATCCCACATGCACGCTGCAACTAAGAAGTCTGCATGCTGCAACTAAGACCTGGCACAGTCGAAAGAAAGAAAAAATTTTTTTAAATTTTAAAACTGTTTTTAAACACCGCCCCCCAAACCAAGGTTGGGCTCACCAGTGGGGGCTGCTGGTATATCTCAGGATGGAATGATTTTCACAGACTGTTTTAACACAATATTCTGGCCCTTCAATCCCACCCCTACACCATAACAATTCCTCCCTGCTTACAGAACGAAGTATAAATTCATTAGCTGAGGATTAAAGATGTTTTGTAAATCATGCCCCAACCCTCTTTCCAGTCATATATTTCCTAATAGAAGTCCTCTGTTTTAGCTAGACTGGTCTACTTTCTATTTTAAAACATGCTTTAACTGAGATATCACCTCACACCTGTCAGAATGGCTATCATTAAAAAGAACACAAATAACAAATGTTGGAGAGGATGTGGAAGAAAGGGAACTCTCATACACTGTTGGTGGGAATGTAAGTTTGTGCAGCCACTGTGGAAAACAGTATAGCGGTTTCTCAAAAAACTAAAAATATGACCTAGCAATTCCACTCCTGGGTATATGTCTGAAAAAACCAAAAACACTAATTTGAAAAGATACGTGCACCCCAATGTTCACAGCCGCATTATTTACAATTGCCAAGATATGGAAGCAACCTAAGTGTCCATCAACAGATGAACTGATAAAGAAGGTGTAGTATATATGTGTATATATACACACATTAAAAAATATGTATGTGCATACACATACACACACAATGGAATACTAAGCCATAAAGAAGAACAAAATCTTGCCATTTGCAACAACAAGGATGGACTTGGAGGGCATTATGCTAAGTGAAATAAGTCAGAGAAAGACAAATATTGTATGATAACTTATATGTGGAATCTAAAAAATACAACAAACCAGTGAATATAACAAAAAAGAAACAGATGCACAGATATAGAGTGTAAGACAGGCTACAAGGATGTATTCTACAACATGGGGACTATAGCCAATATTTTATAATAACTGTAAATGAAGTGTAACCTTTAAAAATTGCATAAACTTTTTTTAAAATTAAACAACAACAACAACAACGTGCCTTAACTATCTACTTTTTCTCCCTTAAGAATACCTTTCCCACCCTCCTGGTCTATCCAAAGCCTACTAATCCCATAAGGCCTAATTCAATCCCATCTGAAAAAAATCCTTTCCCAATGACCCTAATCCATTTTGGTCCATGTCACTCATAATTTACTGCCTTGAGTTTATCACTTTCTCATGTGTCTATTTTCTCTCCAACTTGTCTGTAAACAAGCCCGAAGGCAGAGTCCTCATCTCACTTTTCCATGGGTCCCCTGGTACCCAGGTTGGGGCCTCCCTCAATAAACTAGAGCACTTCACCCAACAGGTCAGGATATCCTAGGATATCTCAATACCAGTTATGGTAGCCACAACACTTCCCCTTGCCCCTACCTTGTGCTTGAAATCAGGAGACTTCAAGGAAATCAAGAAGTCTTTCAGGAAGAGGTTGGTGACTTTGTAGGTGACCCATAAATAAAGATTTTCTATGTTTCTACTCACCGTCTCACCTGCCTTGGTCTGGATCTTCTCTAATTTTCCTTCCTGTCTCAGCTAGAAAAGAAAGTTACAGATGAAAAAAAAAGAAAAATGAGTTTGTGGTAACTAATAACAAACTCTTGCTATGCTTGGCATAGGCTGGGCTTCTGAATTCCTGTTCTAGCCCCTACTTCATCTGAAAATGAAGTAGGGGCTAGAAGAAGTTGCTAGAGGTAATCTTAAGGTTTTAATTCCTCCAAGTCCCTCTGCCGTCTTCCGGGCTTACCAATTTCTCCTCTTCAAACAGCTTCCTGTTTTCAGGAGATGCATATACAGCCAGTCCTTGAGGAAGTAGTCGATTACGGCCTACAGATTTTTTCACTGAGACCAGGTCACCTCGGACTCCAAGTTCTGCCAACAGAGAACAGAGACACTGGATCAGAATTATCGAGCAGTCCCTAAAAAAGGAGATGATCAAAGGAAAAAAGACCTCTTATTCTCTCACAGTGCTTATTCTTCCTAGAAGAAATATTAATATTCGCTAGGACAACACTTAAGAGATTTCTAATTCATTTCTTTAGGACCTGATTTAGAAACTTAATATTCCCTGTACAAAGTGAAGCACTGTCCCATCACGGGATTTCAGTATCTGTAGCACATACTCTCAGGTCTCTTTCTCCCCACACACTGTTAATGATGCTGCTGCATTCATGTTCTGATTTTCTATGTAGGAGGCCAATGTCACCATCACAGTACTTCTTATGGCTTCCTCTTCTCAAATATGAGCTGGTCATTCCCCCAAATTAGTGAAAGGGCAGAAAAAAGCTGATGCCAAACAGGACCAGCCTGAGACAGGAAGCACCTCTGCCTGGGCCTTACCCTCCACCGACTGCGTGAGGATGAGCTCCAGGTTGTCTTTGGGCCGGTGTTTCGTGTCCTCCGCCAGCTTGTAGACGCGGTGCCGCCGGTGCAGGCGCGGCTTCCGGCCCTCTCCCGCTAGCGGCACCTTCCACCACCGCTCCACAATGACCGTGCCCTGGCGGCCGGGGGAGCGAGGGTGAGCGAGTCTCCACGGAGAAGCCTCCTCCTCTGGCCGCCGGGCCCTCAAGGAGAGCCCACCACCCGCAGGCCGGGGCCCCACCAGGTCTCAACGCGCCCCAGTCAAGGAGCCCCAGAACGCACACCCGGCCCTCACCCGACTGTGAGACAGGCTGAAGTCGCGCTCCAGGCCGGAGGTGCCCCCTTCAAGTCGCGGCCGGAGGAGCTCCCAAACCCCTCCTCGCACCAGCCGCTCAGTGCCCGCCCGCAGCAGAGCTCTGCCTGCGGCCGCCGCCATGTTCTCGGGCACGGATGGAGGCGTAGAAGGCCCCCGGCGCCGGTGGCAGGAAAGGCCCCCACCGGGTGCCCGCGGCGCGCCTGAGCCGGCGCGGCTCTGTCCGAGCTGAGCCCAGGGGAAGCCCGGGGAAAGCCCGGGCCCGGATTGGGCTGCGACTAGGCTGCCTCGAGACCGGAGATCTGGGATGAATGCTCCACGATTCAGCATGCCTCTACTCCCTTCTCCCAATTTCTTTTCGGGGGAGGGACACCCATAGCCACTGGCACATAGTGGAGTGACTGTTAGGTGCACTGACACCGGGAAAGACACCCTTTCCCTCTTGGCTTCACTTTGTCTTTAAGATGGGGGCTTCGACTGAGCTCTAGTAGCTCTCTGAGGGCACTTCCAATTCTGACATTCTGTGATAACTGGATGCTGAGGGGAGAGGGTGCTGCTCTCATTTTTCCTTACTTCAAACCTGCCTAAAAGTGGTGGAAGGATGGGATCCTCTGGAAAACTTGCAAGCCCCAGGAAGCCGTCTAATCCTTAATCGTGACACTGCAGTATTTAGGCTCATGTTTAAAGAATTCTAAATCACAAGGGAGACGGTTCCCTCCGTGGAGGGTCTCAGTACTGGGGAGTAAACCATATAAATGGAGTGAATAGGGTCTGTTTGGCAGAAGAGATTTATGGAGAGATGCTCTATACATCCTGTTATTTGACACATAAACAGCCTTTGACCATTAGTCCCTCCTCCTAATTACACTTTCTTAGCTTCCAGGACACCAATTTGTTTTTATTTCCTTCCTACTTCACTATTTTCCTTCACAGTCTCCTTTGCTGATTTCTCTTTTATTCCCCACTTCTCAGAGGGCCCCCAGGACTCAGTTTTTGGATCTTTACTCTTCTCAATGTACACACTCTTGGTGATCCCATTCAGTCTCATGGCTTAACGTACCATTTATACGCCAATGACTTCAAATTTCTGTCTTCACCCTAGTCTTCTAAACTCCAGACATGAATATCCAACTGCCTGTCATCTTCCCCTTACATGTCTAATGGACAATTCAAAGTTAACATGCTCCAAACTAAATCCATCTCTATACCCTGCCCCATAGTGCCTCACCTGCAGCCTTTCCCCTCTCAGTTGATGGTAACTCCATTCTTTCAGTTCTTGGACTCAACTTCTCTCCTACGCCAGGAAATCCTGTAGGTGCTACCTTTACTATTTCCAGAATCCAGCCACATCCCATCACCTCCAATGCTCCAACCTGGAATAAGACACTATCTTTCTCCTGGATTACTGCAATAGTCTCCTAACAAACATCGTTTAAAGCTCTACAGTTTATTTACAACAGTCAGAATCTTTCTAAAAACACAAGTCAGATCATGTCTCTTCTACCCAAAACCTGCAATGACTTTCCCCTTTACTCAGAGTAAAAGAAAAAGGCCAGACAATGGTCTATAAGGCCCTACAATGACCTGGCCCCATTAGCTCTCTTCTTTTTCTACTCTCCCTATAGCTTATACTACTCCACCCACAGTGGACTCCTGGCTGTTTGTGGAAAACATTTGACACATTCTCTTTAGGGCTTTTGCACTGGCTGTTGCTTTGACACAGAATGCTTTTACCCTCAGATGCTCGCTTGGCCTAAATCCCTCACCCCCTTCAGGTCTTTGATTAAATGTTACCTTTTCAATGAGGCCTATTTAGATCACCCTATTTATTACTGCAACTGCGCCACCTCCTTCACACCCCTGATCCTTCTTTATTCTACTCTATTTTCCTCCATAGCAGCTATCATCTAACATATGAAATCATTTTCTTGTGTTTAGTGTTTAGGTTTGTTCTTTCACTGTTAGAAGTTCCATGGGGCAGGGGATCTTTGTTTTGTTTACTGTGTATCCTAAGCTCATAGTAGGCCCTCAATAAATATTTCTTAAATGGATGAATAAATGAATATGCAGAAGTCTCAAACTGGTGGCCCCAGAACCAAATTTTACATACCATGTTGATTTTTTTAATCAACAATTTTTATTTTTTAAGTTAGTAGCCAATATTTTTTTGAAATTTGAGAAATTTATCACAAAAATCAATCTTTCCAGTTTCTGTTGAAAAATCATATGATCTGGTACCACTGAGTCTGCATTCCTGCATGGCAGCTGTTTGGAGCTATTGTGTCACTTGTTTTTAGGGTGTGAGCTTTTTGTTTTGTTTTGTTTTTTTCCGGTAGGCGGGGCTCTCACTGTTGTGGCCTCTCCCATTGCGGAGCACAGGCTCCGGACGCGCAGGCTCGGGGGCCATGGCTCACGGGCCCAGCCGCTCCACGGCATGTGGGATCCTCCCGGACCGGGGCACAAACCCGTGTCCCCTGCATCGGCAGGCGGACTCTCAACCACTGCGCCACCAGGGAAGCCCAGGGTGTGAGCTTTTCATTTGGCTTCAGTCCCGCCCAGCAGCTCCACTAATTTCCATTAGTTGTCCAGGTCCCTGCAGGCATTTAGTTTGCAATTCCTACCCTATAAGGCAATGAGAAAGTTCAACAATGGGTAGCACCACTGGCTTATTAAAGGTAGGGATGATAAAATATTTAACTGATAGGAACCAGGAACCAACCAGTCAGGTCAGATGCTGGATCAGGGCCTTAGAAGCTTCCTGCAGTGTCAGACCCCAACCCTTTAGTTGCTGAAGTGTGTGTTCGCACATGCACATGCCAGAGAGGAGCCCACATTGTGTGGGCACAAGTGGTCAGCCAGGGCTGTTTACCAACCACTACAGAAGCCAAAGTATTTTAACTTCCGGTGTAGCTGTGAAGTGCATACTAGTTGAACAGGAGCCTTGGGGCTACCTAAGAGGGTAACGGGGTAGGGAGCAGCAGAGAGGAGTCCTCAGGTGATGTAAGGGCTGACCCTTTGTCCATGTCATAGTGCTCACCGTGTCACAATGGCACCAGTTGCCTAAACCTCTGCCACCCATCCCTGAACCTCACTTTGCCTCGGGGAGGCACTGAACTAAGAAACTGCCTCGTAACAGGTTGCGCCCCTCTATCTACTCCCTTTCTTATATCAAGAGGGGAAAAACACGGAACTACCTCTACCCGATCTGGTCACCATACGCCTATTACCTTTACCGTTACAAATACCGGATCACCCTCCGGGAGAAGATGCTGCCTTGTTATAAAAGGTACTTGTTTTCATCTCTACTTGCAATTGTTTATATACACTGTAAAGAAAAAAGAATTCGAAAGAACTTCCCAAGTGGCAAAAGATGATAATAGCAAAATAAGGTAGAAGGCTGGCATGGAGCTTCATAAACGTTTTCTATCTGGCTGGCTTGGGAAAATGGAAACAGATAGGTTGGTTCACATAAGATACAGAAGGTGGTGCCAGAGCCTGGCCCTGTGTACCTGGAAGTTAAGAGTCTTTCCCCATCTCAGACTCAGAAATAAACTAATTTGGACCTCTTTTTCCCAATCAGCATCACTTATAAGGAACAGGAGGACTTGACACTCCGACCCCGTTGCTGTCTTCAGTGCTCCTGAGTCCCTAGTAGGCCTTCACAGGGGCAGAAGCAGCAAGCAGGGTGATCAAGACCAGCTTAAAGAGCTGTATTCGGTAAGTGGACTGGGAGCTGGTGCTGTGACATGGCAGCCCCTTGCGGTAATGATATCTTGCAAAGGGACATTAGCTAGTTGGAAAATAAATCATAAGAAGCTAGAGCTAGATGAGACCTCGGAGCTCATGTGTAAAAGCTACTTTATAGACAAGGATTCTGGTCCAGAGATCTTAAGGCAAGGTCCTAGGGCTGGTGGTGAAAAGCAGGATGGGAAAAGAGAAAGTGGAAACAAAGATAGACTGTATTAAGACATAGCTAAGCTGTGTCCAGCTTAGTCCAGCTAAGCTGGACTAGAACCCAGAACTCCTGCCCTTGCCTTTGTATCATATCTCAATAACATGCCTAGGTATGAGCTATGCATTTTAAATAAGAAATGGGAGAATTTAGAGAAAACATATGATGGAAAAAAGTAGAAGAGTATTATCAGTGAGACAGTAAATAGATGGCACAGCTTTAAGCTCTCTGATGTAAATATGTTTCTGAATGGTTAGAGCACACCGAGTGAGGTCAGCAGGCAGTAATACTCCATTGACTCCAGATTCCAAATTATTTGTATCAAAGAGGACTCCATGATAGGAACAGAGTTAGGTCCCAGGACTGAGGAATATTGAGTAAGACCTTGGCTCCACTTTTCCCAGGCTCTCCATCGGCCCCTGCCTTGCTTCCACAGACACACCCAAACTGGCCTGAGATATGATTTGAGGGTTAGGTGAGCACAGAAATAGGAGAATATTACTCTCATTTTTACTCCTTTTCCAGGCTGGGAACCTGACGGTGCTGGCTACTGACCCCCTGCTTCACCAGAACCCGGTGCAGTTAGACTTCCACTTCCGCCTCACCCCCCAGACCTCTGCCCATTGGCACGGCCTTCTTTGTGACCACAGACTCTTCCTAGATATCCCATACCGGGCCTTGGATCAAGGCAGCCGGGAAAGGTGACTGAGCCTGTATGGGGGAGAGGGGAGCAAAGAGGTTAGGGGATTTCGCTCTTATGTCATAGTCAGGTAGTGGGCATGCTAACCAGTGAGGGCTTATTCAGGAGCTGGATACATTCAAACCACTGAACAAGCCTGTGAGCTGAGCCAGGATCTGGGGTTCAAAGGGTAACAGCCCATGGGAGGTTGCTAAACTGATTCAGAAACACAAGTGGGAATGCATAAATAGTTGAAAGGAAGTGCTCTCTGTTTGTCTTTATAGAGTGGCCCCTTCACCCCAAGCCCCTTCCATGGCATGGGTGTCAGTCCAGTAGTGTATAATCCCTTGGCTTCAGAGAAAAAAATCTATCAAAACTAGTTTAGCAACTTTCATTTCCCGGCTTGGGTCAGGAAAAACTAGTAAGATTTCTTCTGCTGCAAGTAGGCATCTTTCTGGATTTTGAGTTTGCCGAACATTACATTGACCATTTTCCCTCTGGTCCCTAGTTTGACTGCAACACTGGAGTATGTGGAGGAGAAGACCAATGTGGATTCTGTGCTTGTAAACTTCCAAAACAACCGGAATGACAGAGGTGGGGATCTGCTCTGTCCTTCCTGGCCCTTTGTGCTGAAGCAGCTGACAAGTGACTTTTCCTTGGTAGACCTTCTTCCCCTCACTCTTTAAAAAAGGGCATGCTCAGGCAGTTCAGGGATTCAACACCCACCCCCTACTCCCCGCCAAGGAAATTAAGGCATCTAGCATTCCGTTCATTCAAGTCATAACTAGACTATCAGGAAGGCCCTGCACGTAGATTTCAGAATCTACACTGAAGGAGCACTGGTGAAACTACAAAGAAGCCATTCAAGGGATCTGGCTGGTAGGACAGAAAGGATCTCAAGTGTATTAAACACCTATAGAGTGAAAGGGTCAGGCATTAGGCCAGGAGGATAGGAATATAATTAACCAGATGCTAGGCACACGTTACGGAAACTACACCTCCTCCCTCAAGGAGTTTATACTTCATTGGATAAAAGACAAAGGTGGTCAAGAGTTTACTATACCTTCCTGGTATAGTAAACTCCAGCCAGGTTAGAGTCTAGGTTTGTTTGACTCCAAAGCACATCATCCCAGTGCCTGCACTACACTGTTTCCCACACCCCCCAAGTCATTCGCTACTGGAAGAAGCCAAGGCTGGGGGAACAGTTGTACTGAGTTTCAGAGTGTTCTAATTTCCTCTCTCTTTTCACAGGTGCCCTGCTACGGGCCTTCAGCTACATGGGCTTTGAAGTGGTCAGACCAGATCACCCGGCCCTTCCTCCCTGGAACAATGTCATCTTTATGGTGTATCCCCTTGAAAGGGACCTAGGCCACCTGCCCAGTGAAACTCCCTGAACATGCTTATTCTTACTCTGTGAAGGGCTCGGAGCCTTGATAAATGAGAACCAGGGGCCCAGGATGTGATTCAGAACACCTTCCATCTTAGGAATAAAGGGTAGTGCAATCCTCAAGTGTTCACTGTTTCTTTGAGCCTCACAGAGCTGAATTCATTGTAGGATAGATAGATAAACATTTGATGACTGAAAAGATCAAAGGGGCCTGAGCCAGAGAGAGAAAGGACCCAAGGATTTTAAGTTTTTGCCTTTCCTCATTTATTCTAACCATCTGAGCACCTGCCAGGAGCAAAACCAAGCACTAGGGAATTCAGGAAGACTTAAGCCTTACTGGGAGACTTTCACCCATATATTTTGGTTCAAATTGGAGACAAGTGCTATTTCCTTTCCTTTGATGTGCAGGAAATCAGAGAAGGTACATGGTTCCTGTGGCATTGGCTCAAGGGGAGGAGCATCCCAGGAAGCAGAAAACAGAGAGAGTTATACTGGAATAGGGAACCCATCAGAATGCAATGTAAACTGACAAGGCTTAAAGGCCATATTAAAGGAACAGGCTTTCATACACAGTAACAAACTACAGTTAAGAATGAGACGCGGGCCTCCCTCGTGGCACAGTGGTTGAGAGTCCGCCTGCCGATGCAAGGGACACGGGTTTGTGCCCCGGTCTTGGAAGATTCCACATGACGCGGAGCGGCTGGGCCCGTGAGCCATGGCCGCTTAGCCTGCACGTCCGGAGCCTGTGCTCTGCAACGGGAGAGGCCACAACAGTGAGAGGCCCGCGTACCGCAAAAAAAAAAAAAAAAAAAAAAAAAGAATGAGACACTACTCATTTTCCAGAGCAAGAAGTCCTATGAATGATTTCTATCAGGGGACCTCTCAAGAGTAAAGGCTGATAAGAAGGTCCTACTGTATAGCACAGGGAACTATATTCAATATCCTGTGATAAACCATAATGGCAGAGAATAGATAAAAAAAGAATGTCTCTATGTGTATAACTGAGTCACTCTGCTGTACAGCAGAGGTTGGCACAACAGTGTAAATCAACTACACTTCAATTAAAAAAATAAATATTCCAAAAAAAAAAAAAGGCGTAAAGGCTGAGGAGACTGCAGACTAACTGGCCTCATGACCCTGTTGTACAGCAGCTCCGATTCCAGGGCCGAGCCTGCTTCACTGAGTGAATGCAGCCAAGGTCTGAGATGTCGTATCAATGGCAGCCCTTCACTGATTCCTGTGGGACTGCCCAAGCTACTCAGAGATGCTCCTTCACTGAAGCCTTTCTGCTACTTGGTACTGAGACTTTTCTAAGACAATAAAATGTGAAAATTGTGTCTATGGGAAAATATAGTTACCATGTGTATAGGGGTGGACGTCACTAATTCCTAGATGTAAAAAATCCTGCATATGATAGCCTCACATACTAGTTTTAAGTCTTCTACGTTACCTTGCTGATCTTTAAAAACAAAAAAAAGTTCATTTGTCATCATTCTACCACCCACATTACTTCCAAATACCTTCACAGTTCTCACTGGATCCTCAAAATACTGTCAGAAACGGAGAGATGCTATAAGGAAACAGGCCCCATAAGTTCACAGCAAAGATCTATCCCTAGAACCCATGTTTCTAGAATCCTAGTCTACTCCTTTTAGGTGGGGTCTTAGTGAATGATTAATTCTGAAGTTGCTTTACGGCAAGAATATGATCTGTGCCTGAGAGGGACAGATGTTTCATAGATGGGCCCCTCTGTGTGAGGTGTTTGGCAATTTTCACCAGATTTCAGTTCACAAGATACCCACAGACTTGTTTCCACCTTGTGATTCAACCAGCATTTAGTTTTAAATAATTTTCTTGAGAACTTTATTCAGCAAAGGAACCCCAAATGATTTGAACAGCTACATGAGCTCTATGGCTGCGTGTGTATACATATATATTATAGATACTATACCAGCAATTTAGAATATTTCCTGAGTCACCTCTCTCCTTGTCTACTTGTATTTTAACCAGTTTACTGGGAAATAGTTGGAGCACTGTTTCAAAAACCTTGTCTCCAATAACATATCAGCAGTTGAGGCTGGGAGGCAGTATCCTCTTCCCACTTCCCGAGGCTTTTCAATATAATTATGCTGAGTTTTGCCTTTGCCTCCTGACTCAACTGCAGTCTTTGAGTTCACCACTTAAAAAACTCTCCTTAACCAGTCACCTGATGAGGTGAGTCAGGAGTCTGCAGACTCATCATTTCCAATAACCAAAACCTGGCTGTTTCCCAGCCTCCAAAGGACACAGCCTAGCAGTAGTGTGCTTTGTGAGTGGTCGAGGGGAGCTAGCTGCACACTGAGCAGGCTGGAAGTAGCGCAGCAGGACTCAAACACTGGAAGTGGCACAGGGGTGGCGGGGGAGTAGGGGCATGTGTTTGTCTCCCTCCACCCCTCACACTTTCTGGTAGTCCAGTGGAAGGAGCAAATGCATTTGGTCCACAGCAAGCCAGATCGTGTATATAATGAAGGAAGAACTGCACTGATCTCTATCACAGGCTCCTCTCTCCAGGCACCAAATCTTATGCCAAATCCTGCCAAAGACACAAAGACACAAAAAGCTTGAAAGGGCTCAGTCTGAAAGTAAAGCTACAGGAAAGCAGCTGCAGAGAAGTAGTAGTAAGATGGGCTATGGGGAAGAGGCAAGGCCCCTGTTGTCACCCTCATTACTTTCCTGTTGCTACAGATAGATGATAGCTCTACTTACCGCAAAGTGGATGGCTGAGGCAACTGAAGGTGACTTCAGACTACGTAGTCATCTTCAAGGTTATCATCACCAGACACAGAGGCAGCTTCTATTTAGCGGAAATGGGGATAAAGTTAGACACTGCCCTAATTTAGCAGGCACTGCCACTGAGGCTCAGGGGAAAAATGGGCTTCTTGGTGCTCGATGACCACCTTGGTTAAGAGGTAAGTCTTAACAACCTCCCTAGCTGGAGAGGCTGATTAAGAAATGGTAACTTCCAGAGATGCTCTAGGGAGAAAATGCTGTTTGTACCTAATAAACTGAGGCAGGACAGGGTATGTGCCATCTCTCCAGGGCTCTTCTTGGTCTCAGTGACCGTGCTGCGGAGAGAGACATCTGTTTCTGTGGCCTGAAGAGATGAAAACAAGAGAAAAAGGAAGAATGTGTTTGGCTGGTGGGAAAGGAGAAGCCGCCCCATCATTTTGCTCACAGAATCCGGTTTGGCTGCTGAGGCACACAAGGTCTTCTCTGAACAACTAGCGGAGCAACTCAGAGTCCTTAAGAGAAGAGAACGCTCTACAAACTCTCATGCACGACTAGAAGCCCTCTTGTCTCAAGGCACCAGATTTGCCCCAAAGCAGCACCCTGAATGACTACAATGCTCACTCACCACATTGTGCAACGTTACTGGGACGGCTCTGTTTTCTTCCATGTCTTCAGGAAGCTCAATTGCGTATCCTTTACGAACTAATTCTAACCCAATATCAAGTTTCTGAGAAGAAAGATGAAAAGGGAATGATGTTCTCTCTGAAGGAAGGGCAAATCAGAGGAAATAGGGCAGAAGAGCTAGGATTGATACTTTAAAAAATTCCTTTGGTGGTTCAGTAAGCAGGATCTTATGAGTTAGGAATATCATCAAATAAGGGTTTCTGGGAGAGAAAAAGTAAATGAGGCTATAAATACACTGAAGAGACAGTGAGCAACGTGTGAACCTCAGTCTTACCTTCCCATTGCTAGTGTCGTATAAGTGGATCTTGGGCCAAGTTGAGATCCCAGACTGGACGTAGCTAGAGATCTTGGCCACCAGGGGCTTCCACCCAGCACAGTGAGTGAGTCTGTCAAACTCATCCAAAGCTTCCTCTTCCCATTGTTCACCTCATAAAAAATCGTAGAGAGAGCCTAAGAAGGGGTCAGTGCTGACGGGGGTGGGATTATGTCCTGGAGGAAAACCGGAACTACCTTTGTCTACTTCAAAAGGCACCTATGTCTGACTGCCAGGCACGTTTCTGACCGTTGCTTTCTAGCACTGGTGATGAAAAGGCACCTGAGCCCCCAGAACTCAAAAAGCCTGGGAATGTGAGACTCCCTCCCACGTGCTCTATGAAAGTTATTCTATATGGAGGCAAAGTCAATAGGTAATAGGACTAATTTACCTGAGGGGGCTATCCGTGCCAGACTACACTCTATTGCTTGAAATGGAAGGCTTAGGAAGTCACTCCTAAAATGAAAGAAATTGAAATTAGAATCCTGGTGCCAGAAGGGCCTTCTTATATTCCTGGCTTCTAGACAGCAGTTAGCCCTGCAGAAGATGATAATCATCTGAGCACTGTAAAGAGGTTCTCTTCCAACGCCCCCTGGTGATAAGTGCCAACAGCTCACCACCCTACGGCCGGGACTGAGTCAGTAAGTGAGACTCCAGCCTGTCCCCCACGCTGACCTGAGCACCCTGAGGTCTCTCAGTGGACAATATCCATTATCTCCAAAGTCAACGAAGTAGAGGTCCAGGTTCCCATTCTCCAAGGTGCCAAGGACCCGGGCTCGATACCAGGAACCATTTGTAGGTAAAGGTGCTGCGACAATGTCTCCTACATGCACAGTCAAGTCTTCAGGCTACACAAGGGGATGAGGAGGCAGGAGAGGGCAGAGTTAGGAAGGGGTAGGCCAAAAAGTAAACCGTGGATACCAGAAGGAAGGAAGAACAAGCCGCTGCTCCACAGAAAAGGGAAGAGAATATGTCACAATGAAAAAGATATGCCCGCTTTCCATCAAACCCCTGCCCTGTCCCTATGGCAACTCACCAGACTATTTTCATAGTGCTGGGTCATCTCCCTGACAAGCTTATCCAGTTGCAGGCTGCGGGAGCCAATGATTTGGATCCAGAAGTGGTTAGGATGTTCAGAGGCAGAGACATAGACTTCTAGGAATTCATCAGCATGGAAACTGAAGTCTGGACTGGGGACTAACCACAGGGATAAGCAAGTTAAGCTGCAGAATCATTATTACCTAATATGGTGACCATTAGAATCATCTCTGGTTGAAATGGGAAGACTGCATCAGGAGGGTGAGAGGTACAAATACCCAGTGGCTACCACCATTTAAAAATGGCTAGAGTGACAACTAGATGCATCATACAAGAACATCCTGAAGAAAAATACTAAGCTATGTTCTGTTCCTTTCTATGTATCTGAGTAATAAGAGTTCGGTCACATTCTTAGTCATCTGCCACATATTCAAATCAGCCACCAGTTATAATGAAGGGAAATCCCCATATGCTAGCTGCAGCATGGACCAGGGAGAAGATACATGGACAGATGTGGGCCTGTTCCAGATCCCTTTCTACCACTGACTCATTATGTGACCCTGGACAAGTCTATGAACCTCTTAGGGGCCCTGGTCTTCCCTGCCCATCCTAGTACCTATACATAGAAGAAACAGCCCACAGCCTTTTTATTCTTCTTGAATGAGGTAGATTTTTTAAAACAGTAATGATTCAGGAAAAAAACTGGACTCAGTATTTTACTTATTTAAATAAATAGGTCTGGAGGAAGAATACCATGTAATTCAATTATTTGATCTATTACTCACAGACTAGTTTCCTGTGAACTAGCATATTTCTATATTGTTTTCTAAAATTATTAGCTGGTTTGTATTCAGAAAAAAAGTATTTGTGCTTAGTACTAATCCCAAGTAAAATACTGCCAGAAAGTCCTATCTGTGATTAAAGACTTGTAAGTGTAGTCGAGAAAATAGAATTTTTTTTGTTTGTTTGTTTCCTATTTTGGGTTATCTAAGCCACTTTTTCTATCTTCCATATGGCTCAGGGGTTCCCTCTTTCTTACATACTTTCAAACATGGATGTCTCTGGACTGGTCTGGGCTCCAAACTTCTGAAGGTTGTCATCATTAGGTTTCCTGCAGGAACGCTCTTCTGGTCCTACAACAGACGTGTCGCCACCTCCTTTGCGGGGAGGAACTGCCAGAGGTGCAGCCTGCTCCAAGCTAGTGCCAGTGTTTTTCCATAAAGCTGGCTTTCCAGCCCCAGCTGGCTCTGTCACTTCCTCTCTTCTTACGCTGATTGGCTGCTTCCGTGGGACTCTGGTTTCTGCAGAATGAGCAATTCTCTTCCTAAGTTCTTCATCTTCTGAAACTTTCTCCAGTATCAAATGCTGTGGAAAATAAGACAAGGGATGATATCTACGTGGCCAGATATTGACCTGGGATGGAGTCTTAGATACAATTCGAATCTATCAGCTACTTGCCTTAGCTGCTGCCACCTCCTTCTGTGTTCCTGAGATTTTTATAAGTCTTGATAGTAGCAATGTCCCCTCTGATTCTTTGTCACAGTTTATTTTGGCTCCCGAGGCCTTACAGATAGAACGAATTGTCTCGCCGCCTCTCCCTGCATTGAATAATACATAAAAACCTGTCCTTCCCTCCTCAGTAACCTTAACTACTAGAGACACCACTGTTTTGTACATACTAGGAGGGGAGAGTCAGTTCTCATTTTCAAACTAAACAGAATGGAAGATAGTGAATGGAAAGCAGGAGCTACTGAAATCTGTACTATACTAAGGGGAATACTGGATTATTTGCTCTATCCATTTTATTTAAATTCTACACATTGGCTAGGTTAATGTGGTCATGTCACTTGCATTTTTTGGCCACTCGGCATACTTTACATCCCCACTTCATTAGAAGATACCCTACACGGTGTGTGAAACACTGGACCAGGGACAGGACATTTCTCTGCTTCTGCCAGCAGCGTAAGGAATGCTCCATGGGAAGGCATAATAGGTGCTTTTTAGAGCATTGTCTTGAAAGATTTGGGATGAAATGAGCATCCTTAGCTTCCCTTTAAAAATCTGAGGTAAAAACATTTACCTGAACCCTTCTGGAACCTATCTGTAAGGTTCAGATCATACAACTTCTTGAGATAATGAGTTTTGCTTTACCACTGTTTTACTTCTGTAAAAAAGTAAAGCTCTGGTCTCAATGTCCCTGCCTTTTTTTCTCAGCAAGGTGAAGCGAAGTAGGTCAGGAGAAACCCTTGGGAAGGTGTGAAAGAAAGGCAAAGGTAAACAAAAAAGGAAACAGCAGAGGAAGCTGTCCAGTGGTACCTATGATTCTGCCCACAGATCTCTGGGGAACTGAGAGCTGCTCAGACACTGGGGTACTCTCAGTCAGGATCTGATGAATTGCTGCTTTGGCCTTGCACACCTGAACAGGAAAACCACTGATAAGCAGCACCCGCTCATCTCCTACATCCTCCGTGTCCACATCGATCCGAGCACCTGTCTGTTTTCGTAGCTGCAGAGAAAAGGATATGTGGTAGTACACTCTGGACGAGCTCTCATCTGGGTCAGCTAAGGATACTCTAAACCTACCCCTGGAGGTAGACGGAACTGGACACAGTAATCAGTGAAATCAGGGTGCTATAAGCAGTCCTCAATTACGTGTACTTATGGAAGGAGATTAGAGACAAAGGTAACCCCAAATAGCAGTTAATCCAAAACAGTTTCTCTGTGTTTAGAACACTCTTTCCCCCTAATTTGGATTAGAGAATCAATTATTTTATTTCATTGACATTCCAACTGAACAACAGGAGATGGTAAAAAGAATCAGGGAGCAATTAATTAGTTACTGTCAATTAATGAGAGTTCATAATTCCACAGTAGAAAGGAATGATTCAAGCTATACCAGGCTGAGAATCACCCAATTAAAAATCCCCATTTCAAGTTAAGTCACCCATTCTCTAGGGAGAAGTACTCATCTCTAGAAGGAAAATAGCAGTTACCTAATAAGTTCCTGTATTTTTTCTGTTTAAAATATACATAGTGTGAGTGGGTTTTATGGAATGGGGGCAAAGAAGGGAAAGCAGAATCAATCCCTGGGAAAGCCGTTGCCTGCTCACACAGTTACCTGTTTAATATTGGCTCCTTGCCGGCCAATGATGAGCTTCACAGCCTCCTGGGGGACTCGCATCTCTATCTCGATGTCATCCTCCCCAACAAATGTCAGCCGCTCTTCTGCATAGATCGTCAGATCATACTTAGATAATACCCAAAGCTACTACCTGCCCTCCCCTGAATCTAGCTATCAAAGAGATGTGGATGCAAGAGATAAACTGAGGATCTCAACCATAAAGAGAAGGAGAAGTAGCATCTGAGTGGGAATTAAAAGGTCCTGAAAGACCAGAAGATGGGCATTCTCTCTGGGCTACTGTTTTCATATGCTAAAACACGAAAAGTCATTTGGTTCTGCAAGGAAGGAGTGATGGATTCTGGGCAAACTACTTCCCCCAAGACACGACTCCTGGAGAAGAATGAAGGCTAGAAGTTGCCTGAGGAGCCCACTAGGTTCAGAATTTCTCTCGTCTGTACGTAAATCATTTCTCTAGGTTCTACTCTCTAGGTCCAACCTGTGGGGAAACTGGACCGGACAGTTAGCCTTCTAACAATAGAAGGAAAATATAAACAAGTGTATGGGTATAAAAAAAGGAGAAAGAAAGAACCCATTGTAGTGCTGGTATTGCTGAAGGGAAGAGATCAAAAGAATTATAAAATGAGTTCTTTATTTCACAGACTAGCTTCACACTAACATAGAAGAGAAAAAACTTTGTTTCAAAGATCCCTCACAGGGACTTCCCTGGTGGTGCAGTGGTTAAGAATCCACCTGCCAATGCAGGGGATGCGGGTTCGAGCCCTGGTCTGGGAAGATCCCACACGCTGCAAAGCAACTAAGCCCATGTGTCACAACTACTGAGCCTGAGCTCTAGAGCCCGCGAGCCACAACTACTGGAGCCCACGCACCTAGAGCCCATGCTCTGCAACAAGAGAAGCCACCGCAATGAGAAGCCCGTGCACCACAACGAAGAGTAGCCCCCGCTCGCCGCAACTAGAGAAAGCCCGCGCGTAGCAACGAAGACCCAATGCAGCCAAAAATAAAAAATAAATGAATTTATTAAAAAAAAAAAAGATCCCTCAGAGAAAGCCAATTACATCCCAACAAATGATACCCAGTCTGGAAGGAAAGTTTTCATTTCAATTTAACAAGGCCAGAACATAGTTTAAACATTTCCATATGTACAGTCACGGATTCACATACCTCTGCTTTCCCTATATCTGCGGTATAGGATATAGGCAACCACTGCACTGGCTGGGATCCCGAGGCCCAGTGCTATTTTCTGAATAGTGGACAAACTTGTCCAAGAAGTCTGTTCAGTGGACATTTTCTGCTGCCTCCTAAAATAAGCAAATGAAGGAAAAGGAGCTTTCATACAACTTTTATGACAGGTAGAGAATGGGAACACATTACAATATTAAGAAGAATATTACTGCCTAATTTCCCATTTCAAGAGCTTGAGCAGTCTCAAAGTCTACTTCATGTGAAAGTCTCGGTATTTTTGTTTTTTAAAGTTAGCTAAGGGACACATATACATACAACTAAATAGAAGGTTACTTCTCCCTCCCCAATTCCCCCAAAGAGAACTATACACTGATCAGTTTTAAAAGACAAAGGAACAAAAAATTAAAGGAATCAAATATTTTTAAAAATTTAGTTTTCATATCAAACTATTTAAAATTCCTTATATGTGCACTTCTATACCTCCTGGTCTTTCCAGAAGCTGTTGTCTCTGCAAGGAATGGCTTTCCAGGCCTAGTTTCGGGCTTTGCTACTTCTACTTTTCTTTCTTGCAAGTGTGGTCTATTTACTATCTGTACTCCGTATTTCTACTTACTCCTCATCTAACAGTGAAATGGGTTCTCTCCTGTTCCTTCACCAAAACTACAACTTCCCAAGTAATCAACCTAGATGGCACATATAAGCCTTAACTAATCTTACCTCTGTGCCCTCTTTCCCATGGTTCTTCCTGTTTACCTGGAGGAGTCTTCTGAGTTTTGAGCTTGTCATCCAGTGGCCTCTATCCATTGCTATTGTCAGTCTGCTCTCTTTGGGCAATTTTATCCATACTTGAAGCTTGAACTACTACCTATACGCTAATGAGCCCAATATTGTACCTGAATTGATTCAGAAGCTCATCAAATCTCATTTAGACCACTGCAATGCCCTTCTTGCTGTTAGTCTCTCTCTGACGCTGTATATTCATTTTGCTGCCTAGCATATATATTTTTAAAATTTATTTATTAAATTTATTTTATTTATTTATTTTTGGCTGTGTTGGGTCTTCGTTGCTGCGCATGGGCTCTCTCTAGTTGCAGTGAGCAGGGGCCACTCCTCGTTGCGGTACGCGGACCTCCCATCACGGTGGCCTCTCCTGTTGCGGAGCACGGGCTCTAGGCACGAAGGCTTCAGTAGTTATGGCACATGGGCTTCAGTAATTGTGGCGTGTGGGCTCAGCAGTTGTGGCTCGTGGGCTCTAGAGCGCAGGCTCAGCAGTTGTGGCACACGGGCCCAGTTGCTCTGCGGCATGTGGGATCCTCCGGGACCAGGGCTCGAACCCGTATCCCCTGCATTGGCAGGCGGGTTCTCAACCACTGCGCCACCAGGGGAGCCCTGCCTAGCATATTTCAATATGTCCCTCACTCTATTTCCTTATTCCATGTACTTTCTCACCCTCCCAATTATTTCATACCGCCTCTTCTCAAACCTCTAGTGCTTCCTTCTCCATCCTCCCTCTCAACTGATGTCTTTGCTTCCTATTTCACTAAGAAAGTAAAGCATTCAGAGAAAATATTAACAAACTTCCAAACTGACCCACCTATCTCCATCTGTGCCTAAATATTCTATCTTCTTTCCTGTGGCCATTGATGAACTATCTCTGCTCCATATAAATGTTGCTCTCCTTCCTTATCCTGCATCATTAATGTTTTCCTCTCTGCTGAATCTTTCTATCAGCAGACAAACATGCTATTATTTCTCCTTTCTTAAAGAAAATCCTTTCTCAATTCCACTTACTCCTCTAAATACAATGCATTTCTTCCCTTCCTTTTATAAGAAAACTCAAAGAGCATCAATACTTCTGTGTTCGATTTCTCTTCTCGAATCCACTCTTACTGCTCTTGTCAAGGTCACCAGTGACTTGGACTTGCTGAATCCAATTCTCAGTCCTCCCTTTAGCCCACACCCTTCCCAGGGTCTGGCACAGCTGGTGACTCCCTCTTCTCTGACACTTTCTTCCCTTGGCTTCACATCACTCTTTCCTGGTTCTCCTTCTCCCTTTCTGGCTGCTCCATCAGTCTGTTTTGCTGGTTCCTGCTCCTTTTTCTAACCTCTAAACACTGGAGTGCCCCAGGGCTCTGTACTTTGCCCTCTTTGTTCTACCTCACTTCTCTGGGGATTTCATCAAGTCTCAGTCAGTCTTGGCTTTAAACCTCATCTATATGCTGATTTAATCCCCAAATTCACAGATCTAGTTAGAACCATTCCTATGAACTCCAGGTCTGTGTATCCAACTGCCTATGAGATGTCTCCATTTGATGTTTAATAGGCATCTCAAACCTAACAGATGCAACACCTAGCTCCTGATGTCACCCTCTTCCTGTAGTCTTTGCCATCTCAGTTAATGGCAACTCCATTCTTTCAGCTCCTCAGGCTAAAAATCTTACTCTTCTTTCCCTCAAACAGCACATCCATCCTGTCAGCAAATCCTATCTGTTTTACTTTCAAATTGTCCAGAATCTGACCACTTTTTAACCTCTCCACTGCTATGACCACCATATGCTCTAAACCACCATTATCTCTTGTCTAGATTATTGCAACTGCTTCTTATGTCCCTGCTTTTGCCATTGTCCAGTTTATTCCCAACACAACAGCTGGAGTAAGTCAAATAATGCTATTCATCTGCTCAAATCCTTCCACAGTTTTCCATTTCACTATGATTAAAAGTCAGTCATTATAATAATCTGGAAGGTGTTCACTTTGATTGTCTCCCCATTAGAAAGTTAACTCCCCAAAGGCAGGAATTTTTTTGTTTTGTTTTGTTCCTCAGTACTTAGCACATAGTAGCCACTCAATAAATATTTGGTCAATAATAATTTGTTGAATGAATACACATCCTCTTATTCTTCAGCAACTCTCCTGCCTATATGTAAGCTCAGTGCCATGAAAGGTTCTTTATAATCTAATCTCTGCCTACCATCTTCACAGCCTTATATTCTAAACCTACCCCTACGAGGGGAACAGGATGTACCCTCTTAAGTATTCTCGCTCTGACACATGTCACTTCCGTCTTCATAGTCTTACTCCCTAGCCCATCAATACACTTACAACCATTCTGTTTTTCACTTTAATAAATCACATGTGGGCTTCCCTGGTGGCGCAGTGGTTGAGGGTCCGCCTGCCGATGCAGGGGACGCGGGTTCGTGCCCCGGTCCGGGAAGATCCCACATGCCGCAGATCGGCTGGGCCCGTGAGCCATGGTTGCTGGGCCTGCGCGTCCAGAGCCTGTGCTCCACAACAGGAGAGGCCACAACAGTGAGAGGCCCACGTACCACAAAAAAAAAAAAAAAAAGGAAAACAAAATCACATGTGATGAAATAAAATTTCATATTCTAAGGCAAGTCAAGGATAATTTAAACATAAAAAATTTTCTCTGCCCTTTGGCCTCCTCTCTCTACTGGAGCTAGAGTCAGAAGCAGCACACATTTGATCCACCACACTGTCCCCCTAACACTGTTCAGATCATATCTCATATCTGAATTAGGTTACCAAATTAATAATGGGAAATCGTGCCTCAAAGGCCAAACAGCTCCTGTGCAGACAGACAGCCACCTATCGGAATACCAGCTGGGTTTATGTATGCTTGCAAGTACTTAATTGGAAATTAGAGGAAACCCCACCCTGAAATGGCCAAGATTGGGTTCTCTTTTTGCATTCCCAAACTGATTTTTTTGCATGCAGTTAAAGCTGGCAGTCTCCTGGATGTCTGCCTGCAGAGTCTACTGGAAACAGTGGTAAGAGTTTCTCTTTTACAAATTAGGTTAGCAGGGAGAAATATTTGTATAGGGCTAGCTTTTTGAAGCTTTGGATCCTCTGAATTGGAAAAACTTCTAAATTGTTAAAATTTTAGAGAGCTCTCATCTTAAACTATTGTACCCATTTTAATTGATATGCAGAAGCCCCAAAAAGCTCCAAAATTTCAAAATAGCCTCATTGAAAGAACTGTAGAAGGCTAATGAAAGATTAATGGTACCTAAAACTTTAACTACTGCTCCCCTCTATCCTCCTTTTGAGTACTCATTCTAGTAATCCTCTATCTGAATTGCCTTTCTACTCTGAAGACACTATTAAATGGTTACCTTTAGAAACGGGACCACCTGAGGAATGTAAGTTGGTGCAGCCACTATGGAAAACAGTATGGAGGTTCCTCAGAAAACTAAAAATAGAATTACCATATGATCCAGCAATCCCACTCCTGGGTATGTACCCGGACAAAACTATAATTCAAAAAGGTACTTGCATTCCTATGTTCATAGCAGCACTATTCACAATACCCAAGACATGGAAATAACCTAAATGTCCGTCGACAGATGAATGGATAAAGAAGACATGGTACATATATACAATGGAATACTACTCAGCCATAAAAAAGAACGAAATAATGCCATCTGCAGCAACATGGACAGACCAAGAGATTATCATACTAAGTGAAGTAAGTCAGAAACACAAAGACAAATACCATATGATATCACTTATATGTGGAATCTAAAATATGGCACACATGAACGTATCTACAAAACAGAAACAGACTCACAGACATAGAGATCAGACTCACGGTTGCCAAGGCCAGGAGAGAGAGGGAGGGAAAGGGATGGGCTGGGAATTTGGGGCTGGTAGATGCAAACTATTACATTTAGAATGGATAAACAATATCTTCTGGGATAAACCATAATGGAAAAGAATATTAAAAAAAGAATACATATGTGTAAAGCTGAGCCACTTTGCTGTACAGTAGAGATAGGCACAACATTGCAAATCAACTATACTTCAAAAAAAAAAAGAAAAAGAAATGGGACCATCTGAGGCTGTAGGCCATAGTTAAAGAATTTCTTAAACCCAGGAAGGATCCTCAAAAGTGTTTGTAAATGGATTACCAAGATGGGAGTCCACCGGTCTGACTAAACTGACCATAGCTGATATTCAGAGCCTGATAGGAATTTTACTGGGGGGGGGGTCCTTGTCCCCTAAGCTAAATGAGGGAACGTAAAATTCCAACAGAGGTGAATGGGTATGTCAGTCCTTTCATTGAGGTAGCCACCCAATTCTTTGAGGAATTAAAAACAACTGTCCTTGTTTTAAAATTCTACTCTTTACAGGAACAGAGATGTGGCTCCAGAAACAATACAAAACCCACCAAACCTTTCACCACTCCCCAACCTCACCTATTAAGAGGCTTGTTTCTTTTTAAATTAATTTTTTATTTATTTTTGACTGCATTGGGTCTTCATTGCTGTGCGTGGGCTTTCTCTAGTTGCGGCAAGTGAGGGCTACTCTTCGTTGTGGTGCACGGGCTTCTCATTGCAGTGGCTTCTCTTGCTGCGGAGCACAGGCTCTAGGCACGTGAGCTTCAGTAGTTGTGGCTTGCGGGCTTCAACAGTTGTGGCTTGTGGGCTCTAGAGCGCAGGCTCAGTAGCTGTGGCGCACAGGCTTAGTTGCTCCGCGGCATGTTGGATCTTCCTGGCCGAACCTGTGTCCCCAGCACTGGCAGGTGGATTCTTAACCACTGCACCACCAGGGAATTCCCGAGGCTTGTAAGTATTGAAAAACAAAAATCTAGCCTTTAAGGAACAAAGTCCTCCTAGGAGGAACTTGCCTTTCTCCTCCTATGCCTTTGAGATGCAAATATTCTATTTGATCTTCTCCAGGAACTCCTACCTGGACCATCTTTTTTTTTTTTTTTTTTCTTCTTTTTTTGGCCGGGCTGCTGTGGCTTGTGGGATCTTAGTTCCCTGACCAGGGATCGAATGGGGTCCCCTGCAATGGAAGCGCAGACCGCCAGGGAATTCCCCGGACCATCTTTTTAAAACACAAATTTCATGCAAATCAAAACTGCAATGATGTACTACCTCACACTGTGCAGAATGGCCATCATTAAAAAGTCTAAAGGGTGTTGGGGAGACAAGATGGTGGAACAAAGGGACTTGAGCTTACCTCATCTCACAAGAACACCAAAATCACAACTAACTGCTGAACAACCATCTACAAAAAAGATTCAAACCTACCAAAAAGATATTC